TCCTGCAGTTCCTCGGATGCTGCCATTCATTCTCTGGCTTTTCTCCCAGTGCTATGCTCATCTCTGAGCCCGCACCGTGATCGGATCATTCCCTACAGCGTCCATGTCTTTTCTTTTTTTTTTTTTTGGCTTTTTGGGGCACACCCAGCGATGCACAGGGGTTACTCCTGGCTCTGCACTCAGGAATTACTCCTGGCGGTGCTCAGAGGACCATATGGAATGCTGGGAATTGACCCAGGGTCGGCTGTGTGCAAGGCAAACGCCTTGCCCGCTGTGCTATCGCTCCAGCCCCCATCCATGTCTTTCCTAGTTGACCGCTGGTCTGGGCAGTTTATGGGACAACCAGAAAGAGTTCTCTCTAGGGGTCCAGTGAATTCTCCTCTATTGCCCTGTGGTGCTCAAGTTTCCAGGACAGAGATGAGATCTCTAACTTCATCTCAATAAAGCAAATGTCTTCCTATTCAGTTTCTTTGTAGAATGAAATTTTTCTTCTCAGTCTGAGGCTTGGTCTTACCAGGAGGTGAAGTGGAGGGGTGAGCTGGGGAGGGAGTTTATCATATCTCAACCCATCTGTCACTCTCCCCTCACCCCAGATTGTCAAGGCCACCTAAATATCTCAAACACTGTCAAACACTGTCCTCCTGTTGTTAATCAATTTGCTCGAGCGGGCCCAGTAACATCTCCATTGTGAGACTTCTTGTTACTGTGTTTGGTATATTGAATACTCTCGGTAGCTTGCCAGGCTCTCCGAGAGGGGTGGAGGACTCGAACCTGGGCTTGGCCAGGCTGACTGCGTGCAAGGCAAACACCCTACCGCTGTGCTATCGTGTAAATATCTCAGTCGAAAATATTTCAATTAAACAAACATGAACATACAAGGCAGTAGAAAGCAAACTTCTAAAAGATTTTCAAGATAGACTAACAGCCATAAACAACTGTGTTGCTTTTAAATTGAGACATCGGCTAGACCCCCAGGGTCCACATTCATGGAATCTGGAGGGTGATCTGGAGGGAAAGTTTAAGGAGCATTTAAATAGAGTCCTGTGTAGTGGAGTGAAAAAGTTCTGTTCCACCAAGTTTTCAATTTAAGCTACGAAGTTGATTTTTGTTTTGTTTTGTTTTCGTCAACGGTGCCTAGGGGCATAATTCAAATGAATGTTGAGAAAATGCTTAATTATTTCTCCTTTTGTTCTCTTCTCATTGTTGGCAAAATCAAACGGCACTTATTAAGCCTTCATCTGTACAGTTCTGATTGAGGTTATGTTATTTTTGTGATAAGTATTAAATAGCCTCATTTGTGAATCGTCTGTAAAGACATGATTGAGGTGAGGGAAAAAAATCATAATTTCATTTCCAATTAGACTAGAAATTGTTCACAGAGAAAATGAAGAAAGCAATGTTGACCTTGAAGGAAACTAATATTCAAAACCTATCACCGTGAGGGAGGCAGAGCCAGGTGGCTGAAAGAGTCAGGGAACAAAGGAACACCCAGAATAAGGGCCCAGGCAGCGTGGGAGGAAGGGACGAAACGAACACTTACTGGGATCCCACCCTGCCAGCCGTCCTACAAGCTATTGTTTCACTTAATCCTCAGAACCCTTGGAGGAAATGTGTTCGCTCCTTGCAGAAATAAGAGGCACAAAAAGCAATGGTAGGGGCTGGAGCGATAGCACAGCAGATAGGGCGTTTGCCTTGCACGTGGCCAACCCGGGTTCGATTCCCAGCATCCCATAAGGTCCCCCGAGCACCGCCAGGGGTAATTCCTGAGTGCAGAGCCAGGAGTTACCCCTGAGCATCACCGGGAATGACCCAAAAAGAAAATAATAATAATAATAATAATAATAATAATAATAAAGCAATGGTAGAGCAGCAAGGGGTAAAGTAAAATAAAATAAAATAAAAACATTTCCAGTGTACAGGAAGCCCATGGCAACGGTGGTGTCTGCACCCACAACACATACCATACTATGTGTTACGTTTTTATAAAGTTAGTCTCATTGAGTCACTGTGAGATACAGAGGCACAAAGTTGTTCAGGACTGACTTTCAGTCATACAATGTTCCATCACCTGTCCCTTCACTGGGGACGTTTTCCACCAACAAGGTCCCCAGTTTCCTTCCTGAACCCTCAGCCCCTCATTTGACTTCCAAGCATGTTTTCAGTACCGTTAGGGAGTCCAGCTGTTCTAACATCAGTGGCATAACTGAACTTCAACACCAAAGACTCCAGGGTCGAGCCCGTGGACATAGCAAAGATGGCTCAGCACGCTTCAGTCTGAGCACTCCATCCCGAGTCTGAGAATAAGACGTGTACTCCAGCATTACTTTCAGAGTCCAAGTTAGAGAATAAAACCAGACTGACCCAGAACGTAGTCCTAACATTGAAATTTCCAACTGGTTTGTTTACACTGATCAATGCCAGCATCTCCAGAGAGAGGTGCTGCGTCCGGCACTGCGGGGCCGAGCCAGGGGAGGGCCGTCAGGGTGAAATCAGCACTCGAGACACACAGGGCTCCGTCATTCAGGAGATGGCATGAATGCGTGCATTGCATTTATTCAGAGCATAGGTACAGACTTAAGTATGTTTCCACAGCCCACCCAAAAGAAAGGAAAGAGGATGGGACGTGGGAAAGTGGATGGGACAATGAGCAGAGCCATGCACCGTTGGTCAGTCACCTGGTGACCCTTTCGACCTAATGCTACCGGTCGGAGCGGCCTGCTTTGTCACAGTTTTGACATATCCATAGAGACTGTGTTGTTCCTCATACATCATTTACAAATCATTTACAAGGGTACATTTTCCCCAAACTGAAACCACCTGTACTGGGAAGTTGCCCAGCTTTGAGCAGGACAAAGGGGGAATGAAAAATCAAGCATTCTTTTACTTGGTCAGTAGGCAACAGAGAGGAACTGTGAATTATCAAGCTAGCACAGCAGTCGGGAAAGAAAGGCAAAATTGTGTAAGAATGCTTTGTCCCGCATCCGATGACTACCTTAGACCAGTGTCCCCTACTGGAGGCCTCCCAGAAAGACTGTTGAACTATGGCCCTGGGATTCCATTCATGCCTTCTGGTTTTCACACCCATGATCAACCACCTACTACCCCAAACATTCCCCAGAATGAAGGTCCTCTGGCCGGCGAGGGCCTCTCCTGGCGTGTTTCTGGTATGAGTGGCAGGGGGAGCTGCCTGCTTGCTGCTCTTCCTCTGGACCCCACTTCAGCCTCTCTCCCACTGCGCTGCCACTTCCTGGCAGCTCCCAGCCTCACTGGTCCTCGTTGCATCATCCGGGTCCTCCAGGAAAGAGGAGATGCTCTCGGCTGAAATATGGAGCGAATGGGAAAATGCCTCCAAGAGGCTGGAGTAAAGCAAGTGAGCCGAGAGGGAATTTGGAGCTGGCAGGATCAGGAGGCAGCAGCTTTCCCACGCTCCCGCCCCGGAGAGGAAGGGGGCGTCAGGTGTGGAAGTTCAAAGGCAGAAGAACCTGGGAGTGGGAGGAGGGGGGTGGGGGGATCCTCCGAGGCTGTTCTCTGCCTGTACTGAGCCTTTATCAACAAGAGATTCAGATCAACAGCGACTCTGAAATGACTTTCTTATCAGCTAGATTTCATTAAGCATTTTTAATTTTGTTTGGTTTTGGCTGGGGGCACACCCAGCAGTGCTCGGGGGTGACTTCTGGCTCTGCACTCAGGAATCACTCCTGGTGAGGGAGCTCATGGAACCGGGGTGGTGCCGGGGATCAAACCTGGTCAGCCATGTGCAAGGCAGGTACCCTAACATGCTTTAGAATCTCTCCAGACCCTGTTTAGCTTTTTGTTTTCTTTTTCTCTTATTTTTTTTCCTTTGGGTCCCCATCCGGCAGTGCTCAAAGCTTGCTCCTGGTGCTGCACTCAGGGATCGCTCCTAGCAATCTGGGAAGAACAAATGAGGTGGAAAGAATTGAACCTAGGTCAGCTGCTTGGGAGACAAATGCCCCACTCACTGTACGGTTGCTCCAGCCCCCAGCTTTATTTTTAAAAAGTAAATAGACAAGAAATGCCAGCACCTATACTAGCAAGAAAAGATTAAATTGCTTCTAAGGATTATTTTTAAAATTGATAAAGAAAAGAAAGAAGAGAAAGAACGGAGGGGAGGGTAGAGGAGAGGAAAGGAGAAGAGAGGAGAAAAGGGAAGGAGAGAGGAGAGGAGAGGAGAGGAGAGGAGAGGAGAGGAGAGGGGAGGGGAGGGGAGGGGAGGGGAGGGGAGGGGAGGGGAGGGGAGGGGAGGGGAGGGGAGGGGAGGGGAGGGAAGAAAAAGGAGGGGAGAGGAGGTGAGGGAAGGTCTGGGCTGACCCTGAGAAGCTGACTGAAGTCCTAGAAAAAATAAATTCCTCCACATTGTTAGCATTACGACCATGGTTTTAGTAACCTGAATTTTCAATAAGAAAATTTCTCATTTCAAATACGCATATGAACCACCCCAAAACACAGAATTTTCTTAAAGCATGTTGCATGTGATTCCATGTTAGGTCACTTGCATCAGCTTAAAGGTGCATGATTCTGTGTAAGGAGATCCCAGGGTGTGTGCAGTAACACGCCATCAGCCTCAGCCAGAACCTCAGACGTAGCATGGGGTCCTCAAAAAATTGGCTTAAGGGGTCGGAGCAATAGTACAGAGGGGAGGGCGTTTGCCTTGCACGCAGCTGACCCAGGTTCAATCCCTGGCATCCCATATGGTCCCCCAGCACTGCCTGGAGTAATTCCTGAGTGCAGAGCCAGGAGGAACCCCTGTGCATGGCTGGGTGTGACCCAAAAGACAAAAAAAAATTGTCTTAAGATAAATATATGACTTTTTTTGTTTTTTAATCCAAAAAAAGGAGATTTCTGCATTTATTGGGAGCTTAGTATTAAGGATTCTGCCTTGTGGGTTGGTTTTTTTTGTTGGTTTTTTTTTTTTTTCTGCATCCTTTTGCTTGACTGAATCCTTTTCTCAGTACAGCCCTCCTCTGCTTCCTTCTCTGCAGGTCACGGGTTTGGGGCCTCCAAGATGTCACGTGCACAGACGTTTCCCAGCTACACCTCGGAGCAGAGCGAAGAAACCCAACCCACTCTGTCCCGGTCCAGCAGCTACGGGTTCAGCTACAGCTCCAGCCTCATTCAATGACACACAGTCAGTGCTGACCAGAGACAGTCTGCCCTGGATCTGCTTGTGGGGTCACTGCGCCCTCTGCCTCCTGGAAGACCAATTGCAGTAAAAAAAAAAATTGAAAAGGGTCGGGTCTAGCCCCCCTCCCAGGGGAAGGCTTGAAATGACTTCTGCTTCCATGATTCTGTGGCTAAGTCCTTTATTTATTGAATTTCTTCGGGAGAAATCTATGTTTTACAAAAAGTAGAGTCCAAATCGTATGAACAGTTCTTTAAATCCAATTCTTTGGGTGAGAGAGCAGAAGCCCTGGGCTGTGGGAGGGGTGACCCACACTGGTTGGGCCGGTATTGATCCCTTTTTCCATGGCTCCGTCCTCCCGTCTGATGACAGGGTCGAATCTTAGCTGGAACAGAGACCCACCTCTGCTTGGAAGCTTTGGACGGAGACAGAAAAAATCTGGTGAGCTGCATACATGGCATCACAAGGCTCCATATAAATAAGCAAGGGTTTAGGGAACATGACATTTAGAACACACTCATACGCAGGGCCTCGTAGCTCGACTCAGGGTGTGTGTGTACACGTGTGTAGACAAACACAGACATGGATATTACCATATCCATCTCTGTCTTACCAGTATATATCAGTGTTGCTGAGGGTGACAGGATATGCTCACTTAAATTGTCGAATACTGTAATTTGGTGCATTAAAAATTAAGGTTGTTATGTTGAATAGCTATTTTTAAAATAGTGCTGTAAAAAAAAAGGCTTCTTATTAGCAAAAAGTATTTATATCGTCAAGTCTGCTCCTATGCAAATGTAAGGGGAAATGTGAGAAGGGGGAGTTCTTGGAACAAAAAAGAGAAAGAATCAGTACACTGGTCTGTGTCACCTCACCAGCCGTACAGTATTTCTGACTAATGGGACTCTCCATAGGAACTAGTTTCAGAAAGATAAAAATCCATCGAAAGAAAAGCAGCATTTTTGTGCTCAGGAGAAGGTCATCACAAGAGTCCAGAGTTGTAGATATCACCCATTTAAGAGTGGGTTCAGAGGTGCTCCTGGGAGGACCATCATTCAGTGTACACCCAGAATTTCATGGGCTCTCTTTTCCTTTTACTAGACAAGGGCTGGCTGAGACCATCAGAGGAAATGGTCCCATGTAAATGCTTTCATCCCTGACACTAAATGACAGACTTCCGAGTTTTAAAGGGAAGTAGGATTTCCTTGTGAACCAAAAAAGGTTTAGCTAATTTCAGTGAAGGTGAACCGGGAACTTTTGCCCTTAATTTTGGGGTTCACATGGGTAAAAAAATACATTTTGCTCTGCCAGAACTATCTGATGCAGCTGGCCTAAGGCAATCAGCTTTTCAACTCCTCCGAGGTGGATAGGGACAGAGGGCATAAAAGATGAACACCTCATCTTTGTCACATCGAAGAAAAAAAATTAACTTTCAAAAATCAGTCTGTTTTAACGCACTTGTTTTGCTTGATCTGTGAAAATCATATCCCTAGCTTGTGTGTAGATGGACAATTCACTCAGGGGAGTGCCTCTGAATTAAAATGGTTCAGGGGCCTTCCTTGAACATGTCTCACTTAGAGCAACTACCTTGCCTCTTCAAATCTCTCCGATACGTATGAAAATCCCATCAAGATGCTAATCATAAGAGTTAATGTGGCTGCGAAAAATAATTATCTTGAGCTTTCAGGGATAAAAAAGAAAATTACTCAAACTCTCTGCACTGTGAATTCTGCTGACACGGCAGAAGAGGTGTTGAGTGGGTCCAGAGCAGGATGTGGCCTTCTCTGCCACCCCAGCTTCCGGTGTGGAACACCTCAGAATGACTTTTGCACATGGCATTTGCTTCGGAAATGCCATTAGTGAAACTCCCCAGAGCAACTCCAGCTGAGACCACTTAGGCATAAGCTCCCGGTGGGGTCATGTTGGGCGTCAGCCTCTCGCTGGCTCTCTCGGTTGAGCTGTTGCTTAGAGACCACAAGTTTCCACAAGGGACTTATGGGAAAGACCCTCAGGGGTCCTGGTTCTTGTCTCGGCTTTATTCATGTGCCAAGAGCACAGACAGCAAGTCCAGAGAGGCTTCTGCTGACTAGATGAGTTTGCTCTTTTGCCTGCCCGGTAGGAGACAATTGCCGGCACAAAGTTGTTTCACAAACACTATATCGTTGTGTTCTTTATCAGTTAAGGGAACTGAATAAGTATCCCAGATCTGGCATCGTCTTGGGCCAGTTCATTTTGAAAACAATTGGCATTAAAAAGGGTGAACTAAGAGAAATTCCCTTCCCAATTCTGGAACCCAAACACGACCCAATATGAAATCACGCTAAGAAAACATCTCATGGTAGGTTTCTGGAGATTGATGCTAACATCTTCCTCCGACTACGCTTAGAATCGGAACCAAGTCAAAACCACTAAACGATTAAATAAGAAAATCCATGTTAACCTACTATACGTGACATGCGGCAGTGTGTGTTGCAATTAGAATGGCAAGCAGATGAATCTTCCACAAAAACCAAAGAGGAAGGCCACTGTACCCATCTCCTAGATATTTATCAAAACAATTCCAGAGGAACCACTAGTGACCAGAGACAAGATTCAACCCACCGGAGCTCTTGGGATTTTGAGCAAAGTTACCACTACCCTTAGCCAGTCATTTTTCTCCCTTCAGAAATTGTATTATACCGTTGGTATGCACGTGGTATTTTTCACTAGGAGGGAGGCATTATTCTGAACCAAAGACATCTTTTAGACATCTTTAGGGACCCATCCAGATTATCGGGGATGAACAAAGTGTGAGTTACCAGAAGAGATTGGAAGGGAGGAAGGATGAAGAAACCCAATACAAAAAGAAATGGCTCTGCTTCGAGCAGAGAGAGCATCCTGGAGGAACTGCTTGTTTTGCAGAGAGATTCCATGAGACTTATTTTTTATATCCCCAAATTGTTCTTCTGACATTAATTACTACACACATGACCTTTGTATTTAAGATGCTGAAAGATGAAAAATAATTTTAAAAAGGTAATTTTGGATTTACTTTCTGGTAGGGGAAAAGAAGACACATCTTTCACATATTCATTGAATGAATAATGGGCTCTCAGAACGGATTTATTTATGCAGGGTGCAGATATTTATAATTCAACAGGTTCTGGCCACTGCCACAATTTGAACTCAATGAAATATATATATATATATTTACTTATATATTAGGAAAGATACAGTTTGATAGGGCATGTGAAATAAAGTAAGACATATATTCCAAGTAAACCTGAACATTTTCAAATATAATGAGGATTAGCCCTAGTCACTTGTACTCTTTCTGTATCTTCATGGAATAATTGTTTGAAAATAATTTGTTGCCTATGAGATGGGTACCCACTTATATTTCAATCCAATATAGATCAATGGATTGACCCATGTCTTTACTCTGTTAGTGGTTTTGATAGATCCAACTTATTGCATGCTGTATCTTTATCATAAATATTAAAAACATCAAAAAATCGATACCTGTTCCTCATTCTTTGACCAATATCTCAGAAAACTTTCTTTAGAAGTATTATGATCAATTCCCTGGCCTATTTTGGCCATTTGCTAAAATCAGCTATTAATGCTGCAGTGAAAACAAGCTAAACAAATTATATTCTGATTTTTAAAGGAACATTTTTGATTATTATAACAGCACAATGAAGGGAGATGAGATATGCAATATAGCTCGCCTTTGGTATTTTAATACATCATATTTCATGCAAAGTATACTAAAGCCTGTGCAAAGTCCAAGTTATACGTTTTTCTTTAATCTTGCTAATATATCTACTAATACCTTGCCATCAAAATTACTTTAGCAATCATAACATATAATCTCTCAAGCTTGACCTCTCACCATCATAGGAACATGCCACTCCATTTGCATGAATTATTCTCTAAGTGATATGTCCCCACTAATGAATCATGAGCCTATGAAATTCATGGTGTGTCATTTCCCGTGGGAGGGAGAGAGGAGACCAGGAATCGGGAAAGCAATGCTTGAGGTAAAATTGCAGACTGATGAACTGTGTGAAGAAACACAAGGACCCTGATTGCTTAACCTCCTAACCCCAGGCCCATCACAGAAAGAGTCACCTGTCAATGGCTTCACCTGGAACCATGGGAAGAATTTTGAAGTTGTCACTGGCAGGCCATACATCAAGCAGGCTTCCTTAAATTTGGAGAAGATTAGCTGGCATATCGGAATGCTTAGCAAAATCCCCATAGTAAAATGTCTCTTCGGTACCATGAGTATCATTTTTCTATGTAAGTGTCTCTTAGGTGAACTGAGGGTTACCTTTGTGTGTGTACCAGCTCCGTGAATCTCTTACTGTTTGTCCATACCCAGCAGTGCTCAAGGCTTAGTTCTGGCTCTGAGCAAGGGTCAGAGGACCATATGTGGTGCCAGAGATCGAACCCAAGTCATCCGCATGCAAGGCAAGATTCTACCTGCTGTGCTAGCGCTCTGACCCTTTATGAATATTTTTAAAAGATCTGCTCACTATTTTGCTGAAAACCACATTCTTTTTCCTTGAGCCTATGTGTTGGTTGTATCGTGCATCTGATAAGTACAGCTAACTGAAGCATCAGGCCACGGGTAGAGTGTCCTTGATGTATCACGAAAGTTTGGGTGTATTTTCCAGATGGATGGACCGCTGGCTACTCGGGTAGCTACCTGACAGGCCATCCAGAATAAGGTCTCACTTTATGTTCTGCTAAGGAAAACTCTGAAGTCATCGATTTTTTACTTTGTTCAAAGGCAAAGAAATGGTCAGGAATGGATTTGCCTGGTTCCAGGCTTTTGACCCAGAAGCGTTCCCTTGGCCTCATCTGGTCTCCCAGTTACACAGTGGGTGTTCAGAAATACCACGTGGCCCATAATAAATACGCCGTTGTACATTTATGTGTTTCTCCACATAGTTCAGATTTTACTCTACCTCAGCTCATCACAGACTATACGAATAGAGAGGTCTCATGGGACAATTCCTGACTCTTGTGGTAGGTCACAGGCTGGGGGTATGAGTTTTGTCACGAAAATTGTCTTTGTTTCCTGTTGGAAATTCAAATTTACTCATTCTTAAGTGATAAGTCTTAAAAGAAATAGGTGTTTATATTTTGTCTTCCTGCTTAGTCATCCTAATATAGTTATTACTATCATTTAGGGCCTCTTTTACTTGGATGTGCTTTGGGTAAATCATTGATTTGTGTCACAACTTCATTACAGAACATCAGGACTATTTTTTTTTGCATGTCAACAATAAAAAGCTTCCATTTTCAGCTGAAATTTGGGGAATGACTTTTTTTTAATTCACATATCTTAAATACTTTGTAGACAATTGTTCAAATGAACTGAAGTCTAGATAAATAA